TTAAATAATAATGACAAAGGAGTCTGTACTTTAGAACTTGTTCCCATTTTTCCTCTATGTCCCATGTCATGGCAAATTGCACTTACTAAAAGAGCCAAAATCTCCAATTTTGTGAAATTAGAGAACAATCTTCCAACTTTAACAATCATGTATGCCATTTGCGTAACATCAACAGCATGATTGAAGTTGTGGAAAGGAACGTGATGGTATTGTTCACTGATAGAAGTGATGAATCTCAAGATTGTTTCGATTTGGATGTTGAATTCTTTCAACAAACCTAAATCGTGGAAGAAAAACAAAAGAATACGAAATTGTTCATTCTTTGGAAACGCAACAGCATCAAATTCAATTGAAGAAACAGTAGAAAGTAATGGTTCAATGATGTTCAGTCTTCCAGGCATTTCAGTCATCTTCAATTCAGTGGCTGTCAAAATTGTAACTAATTGGCTTTCTGGTTTCCAGAAATCTTCAGGAGATTTCGCCATCCATCTCTGCATTGCCAATCCAGCAAAAGCAGAGAAGTCTTTAGAAGGAGTTGGTCATCAGCTGTGAATTTTGGAGATCCTACTTTATCAACAGCTTCAATAACACCGATGACTTGATTCAATGAATCCAAAATGGGAATTGCCAAAATTGAATTCGGTTTTATTCCCATTTGACTCAAAAACATTGTATTGAATCTTCTATCTTGTGTTGGATCTTCTTCATTAACTTCTCCACCACTTGTTGCAACGAATCCTACAACATCTTCATTCGTAGAGAAAGAAATTGTATCATTAACAGCAATCGGATGACAAATGTGTCTTTCTCTGTCAATTGCGAATATGAAAACATATTTAGATTCAACTAAATCTTTTGCGTTACTCATTAAATTTGTAACTAATTGGTTGAGTGTTGATGTGCTTGACATGTTCAACACAATATCTAATATAGCACTCATCTTCTTCTTCGTTATCGTCGCGCTTTCATACAATTGAGCATTAGACAAAGCAATGCCGCAGAAAACATTAAAAGCACTCATTAATTCAATGTCAGTTTTTGTAAACTCGTTTCCATCGAGTTTATTAATCATTTGAGTGCATCCCATTATAGAACCATCATTGTTTCTGATTGGCACGCAAAGAATGGACTTTGTCAAGTAACCTGTCTTTTTATCGACAGCCGGATTAAATCTAGGATCTGAATAAGCATCAGGAATGTTGATGATTTCTCCAGTTTTCGCAACAGTTCCTGCGATACCTTCTCCCAAAGGAACGAAGATTTTTGAGTTCTCACCATGCGCAACAACAGACCAAAGTCCACCTCTCACTTTATCAACCAAAAACAATGAACATCTATCAGCGTTGATGAAAGATTGAGCTTTTGTCATGACTTTTCTGATCAAAGCGTTTGTATCCAATTCAGCGGATAACTCTTGAGCAACAGCCAAAAGAGCTGTGTAGTATTTGTGGTTTGTTCTCGCTTTTTGTATATTTTGGATGTTGCTTTCGTGTAACTGAGCATTTTGAAGAGCGGAAGAATAAACACGGGAAAGAGCTTCCAACATGATTTCATCTGTTTTGTTGAACATCATTCCAGATCTTTTTTGCCTTGCAACAGCAACTAACATGACTGTTCCGTTGGAGCTCTTCAAAGGCATCGCGAGTAATGATCCGTTTGGATATTCACCATCCATTGTCATGTTGAAATCAACTCTTTCTTTGGCGATTGGAATGTTGATAATTTGCTTCGTTTTGTAGCATGTTCCTGCAATTCCTGCACTGTCTATTGGAGTCTTGATACGTGTAACAGAACTCAAAGAGTCGTCATCACTTCCTTTGCTTCTGGCGGCTTCACGAAGTTGTACTAAAGAGTTGTCTTTTTCGTCGGCGAAAAAAACTTGGAGAACTTCACATCCAATGACACGGGATGTAGTTAACTGGATGGATTCTAAGAGTAGCATGACTTGGCGATCAATAAGAAGGGATTTGGTCGTATCTGTCAAAATTTTCTCGATCATCTCATTGAATCCGGAATCTCCTTGATAAAGTCGTTGTAAACCAAAAGAAATATAGTCAATAATAAGTACATCGTCTGGTTTTGGAGGAATAACTGTTCCTTGAGGATCAATTCTGTCTACAATTTCAATGACCCATAAAAGTTCTTTTTTGCTATCGTAAACTGGTGTTAAAACAACAGACTTAGCGAATTTAAGCAACTGTTCGTCGTACTGTTGGTTGTAATTTGGATCTTTGGCCGGATCTTTTATGATAACTTTATCTTTAGTTTTAACAACGCGATCTAAGATTCCTTGGCCAATGGGAACTATCGTATTTGTTGTCGGTGAAACTAATATATTTGCTGTTTTAACTCTAACCCAAAGCACAACGCGGCGACATTCAATTAATGACCTTAATCTGTCTTCAAACGTGGCAATAAATGTAGATTTTGCGTATTCATTGCATAGAACTTCGAAAAAATGATATATTTCTAAAAACCTCTGTATTTGGTGGAATAAATTTTGAGCGAAAACGCCTCTTTGCGCTTGGTCTTTAATCTGTTGAGCTTGTTTTATTGCTGTATTAAGAGACGTTTCATCACCTGTAATAAAGCATCGTAAAAATGTTGTTTCATCGATATTTCCACGCCCACCAATTGCAGTACCGCCTCTGCTCATATTTGCCGTTAGTACAAAGTCATCACCTTGAATAGCTTTAGCAGCAGACTCATTCTTTCTGCTCACAGCAAGCTGTTGTTGCATTTGACATTGTTCTTCGAAGCATTGTATCAATTCTTTCGCCATTTCCGATTGAATTTTGATTAAATTGCGAATTTCTGCTTCTAATTGTGCAACTTGTTGCGATTTCATCTGTAAAATTTGTGATAAGTGCGATAATTGAAGGTTATAGCCACCATCATTCAGCCCAACTGATGTTGACTGTGAGAATGGAGTGATAGCAGTCGGATCGATGGGCTGAAAAAAACCTGACAGCTGCTTACCAATCATTCTTATTTATTTAAAACGTGCAAATTTTGTAAAAAAATATTCATTTACAAGTAACTACATACAAAGAGAGCCAATAAGGTTTCAGTTACTATCTTCCTGATTGAACGTAGGTCCACAAAATCGTAACGATGCTTTCTTGCACTAATTTGATAAAGTTGGCTGAGGCAAAAACAAACTACCATATTATACTTAAAACAAGCAGTTGGAGAATTAACGCCAACAGCCTCTTCAAATTATTGACTTATTATTCATTGAAATCATTGAAGATTAATCATTTGATTTTTCATCTAAATTTTATTCACAAACAAATTGATATTTGCATCTTCTATTAATAAATCCTTTTTCTCATCATAGGTTATCTAGTATTTTCAATATATAATTTGGTACAAATTAAAAAAATTAAAATCTTATAATTTAGTTCCTTACATAATTATATGCAAAATTGATTTAGTGAAATTAATTTGTACATATTAATTGCATAAGTGATAGAAATTGATTCATAATATCACACTTTATTATATTCTATCACACATAAACCTACTTTAACTAGATAACAAATTCAAATTTAGTAATTCAAATCTACACTATCAGTTCTTGTTTTGAAAGTAGCAATAGTAATTATGTAATCCAAATTTCTGCAACTTTAGAGAAAATTATTCATGATTTTGTATCTCCTTCTATTGGTTGCTGTGAAATAGTATTTGAGATTTATCCATTATAATTTTATTTTAACTTTTTATTTCATTGCTTTTTGAATAGTATCTGAAAAAAATTATATCTATAGATTAATTTGTAATACAATTTTAATATTTAAAAATATGAAACCGAAATTAAAAACCGCTATCATCTTTCAATTTCAATTTAGTTGTTCATTTATCGATAGGTTATACTAAGGGTTTCGTTTTGCTAAAATTGTCACTTTTATAGCATATTTGTTTTTGGATGTTTTGCGAAACCAAAAAAAACTATGATATACAATGTGTGTGTAAAGAAAATACTTTATTTACTAGTTAAAAAATCATTTGGTATTGATCAAGTTATTTTTTCTGGATAAGATATTATATGGATAATTGGATAGAAAATACAATTATATAATCTTGTACCTGGTTTAATTAAGCTAATTGTCATCAGAAACTTGTAATTTTTATGAATTTCAGATTTTCTTTTCATTACTGCTTTTCTTAATAGGTCAAGTTCTTATTTACGTTATAAAGTATGATATTTACAAATATCAAGTTATCATGTTTTTTGAGAAATTATGAGAAACAAACAAAAATGAAAAAGATAGGAATAGCAATGAATAGTGATGTGGATATAGAAAATGTAAGAGATATGAATGCAAAGCAATCAGTATTTAGGATATTGACCATAGATTTCGAAAAAAAAATGCTGCATATTGAGCGAAAACTATGATTATATTATAAGGCTGTCATTTAAAGCATAATGAAACTATTCCCTTTTCATTTTAATCGAATAAGATAGTAAAGATTTTTGAATTAGCTAGAAACTGATGAGATGTTTTCACAAATCAGATTTTTAATCTCTATAATGCATAATTCACTCAATATCTCAATTTTGATATTGCGAGATATTTTTGCTATCGGTTTCGCAATTTTGACACAATAGCAAGAGGGTTCTATAAGCATTATTATCAACGTAGAATCTGAATATCATATCAGAAAATGTCGCAAATCTGACATTTACCCGACCAAATAGCAAAAATAATTGAATACTTTTCGCAAAAACTTTAAAAATCGATAAAAATATGAAATATAGATATTAAAGAGACTTTTTATATAATATTCATAAAGATTTTCCAAAAATATGATACCGCAAAATTAAAAAAGTGACGTCTTGAGTGGAGTCAAAGGTCGAAATTGCTAGATAAATGTTTTTTAGCGAAATTGCGTATTGTACGTTTTTTTCGCAAAACGAAACCCTTAGTTATACTTAATGTTTTTATTAATGCTTGACAATATTTGATTTTAATTTTTTTTCTGATTAGATTTTTCAAATGCTTGGATTACTGTTTTCTCTTTCTGCCTCAGAATTCCGTATTTGCATTTATGCGAGTTCTGAAAATGAATGCAAGGGTACAGGATATAAGGAAAAAATAACTCTAGCAGCTTTCACTGAAGATAATTTCGACGCTAAAACCCATCTTCAACAGTTAGGATATGATATTTCGACCACTCCTGATATCAATATTGACTATCAAGGGCATGATGCAGGAACAAAAAATCATCCAGATCAAAAAATTCTTAACAAATTTAGTAAAGACGATTTCCATCCATTAGTCATATTCGATTCAATGAGTAATACACCCACAAAAGAGATCACTCACATGCCCTTAGAAGATAAAGCTAGGTGCGAATATCATGGTTATATATTAAGATTTACTGGAAATTTCAAAACCAACACAACGAAAGTTTATAATTGCAATGGCCAAAGTGATACAGTGTCCTTCTTTCAAATCGATAATTATCTTGGACCTCCCTCATTCTTAAAGTCATTATTCCAACAAGACGGAACATATTCTTATGTTGGTAATGCTGAATTTCAAGGTATAGAAGACTTCCCTCTCACAAATCAAAACAAAGTAATAGATATTCAAGGATCTGTTTCAATTAGTGATGTGAATTCTTACTCAGCAGTAGAGATCAAGGATAAATATGCATCAGACGCGTACTACCTTAAAATTACAATTTCTGACAAGTTTTTTGAGTTCCGACCATTTGTCAAACAGAATTTATTTATCAAATTCAAAAAACCAACAACTTCAGCTTCAGTATTAACAATTGATTCAGACCCTAATGGTATTAATTTCGAAAGTGGTAAAAAACTTGCTTTACTGTATCTTATTGGTGCTTCAAACGAAGCTTATATGAAAATCAACATCAAATCCAGCTCTATTCTTGCATTGACCAGTAAGGGATATACTGATATGGAAGTTTCTCAAAGTGGCGCTTATGATTTAACAACAATTGAGTTTGTCAACGAGCAAAGTATATCAGCTGCTATTCAAATGCATGAATGGGCGAAAAAGACAAATTTCATAATCAATAAAGATATAAACGTCGATTTGCTTTTCATTCGCTTCGCAACAAACTTCACATTCTCGTTGGCACAAGGTGTAACTTCAGCTACATTTGGAGCTACAACTATGGATGGCAATCCATCACATCATATGAAGATTCAAAAAGGACTTTCAGTTAAGATCAGAACATTTAAAAACTATGTAATTTATAACAACATTCTTTGGCTCAGATTGATTCTTTTTACATCTGGAACTTCAACAAAATTCGAAACAGGTAAACTTCAGATAGATGCATTGTCTCCGCCAACTTCTGATTGGAAACAATTCCCAATTTACATTGAACACAAACAAGATGTGTTTTATACACCTAATAACTTGAAGACATATTTCGATGCTTCATATGATATTCTGACTACTTCATCATCAAGCGCCATTACAATTGTATTAGATAATGAAATAAACAATCCTGGTTTCTATAATAAACAGCTACTCATGGGCCAAGCGAAGTCAGAACCAGTGGAAGGTATGTCAACATATTCAATTAAATTTGATTCATCCAAGTTCCAGAAATTCAACTTCTCATTATGTCTTTCATATCAAGAATCTTTATGCCAAGCAGGTGACATGATTTACTATATTCAAGATTATGTTAAAAATGATCAACCAACAGATGTAAATGCATTTACTAATGTCATAAATACAGCTTCCAAAGCTGTCAACTTTAGTGCAATTCGCATCACTATTAGAACGCTACCTAATTATTTTACAACCTATAGATTCAAGATTCCAACATTAGACTGCTCTCAACTTGATTCATCAATGAAATCAAAGCCATTAGAAATAACATGCAAAAAGTTCTACCAAGAACTCAATGTCATCAATGCTGATGTAATGGATGGACCTATACAATTAAACAGAATCAAATTAAACACTGATCTTGAATCTGGTTCAATCAAGTTCAAAGATTCTACTAAGGTAACTTTTGCTCATTCATTTATTAAGAATGCAGAGGATTACACACCCAAGTTTTCTGCAAATGTCAACTTCTACTATACTCTAGCAGATATCGCTAATGAATTTTCAACCGATAGAGCTACTGATATATTTGCCATGAAATATCTTCTTTTGGATCAGGCCATTGTTTATCTCGATGAATTCGATCCATTGAACTTCTTCGGCCTATACTACGGCAATCACACTGAGCTCAAAGTCAGAGTTAAGGCAGCAGAAAACGTTCAACCTATAACAATTACACTAATGGCCACAAAGGTTTACTTTACTTTTGATTACAGTCAAAATTCAGAATTCGTTGACAGAGATCAATGCAGATTCACAATTCAATATACAGGTGCTTTAACACCTGGTAAAATCGTCAAGTTTAATGTCACTAACTTTAAAGGATGTGCAGAGTCCATAACTGTTAAAACTGATTGGCCTGATTCATTTAGAACAGATGAAATTGTTACATTGATTCCAAATGCAACGAATTGCAAAGTTAGCTTGGCAAACTTCACAGGTATACTGATCAAGGATATTCCTTATTCAGTTTCAAACAAATTAGCTTCCAGAGTTTTGAATGAAACTACTGTTTTCAAATTGAGTGATGGAAGTTATCTCCCTTCAGTTCAATTCCCTGACATGTCCTTCGATACTTACTACAATGCAGAAAACAAAGTCTCTAGTATCAAAGGTTGCAAAGCTATTTTCAAGAACTTGGAAATCAGATTCGACACAATTTCTCGCTTCGACGCTTTGGAAGTCACAGAAAGTTTAGTTATGTACCCAGGTTCTGTCCTCGAACCAACTCCTTCATCTAATCCATCAACTAACCCAGAAAATACAACAAATACAGAAAATCCGCAGCCAAATACAGAAAATCCGCAACCAAATCCAGACGAGACACCATCAAAGAAGAAGATTAAAGAAGGAGAAACACCAACAAATGAACCAACTCAAAATAATGTTGACTTCTGCAACATATTCGGCGCAAAGGTCGAAATGAAATGGAATGCAGAAAAACACTCTGAGATCCATTTGGCTGATAACTGTCCACAGCAGCCTGCTGAAACAATTTTCAACTTCAACTACGACAGCACAATCTTGAGGAAGGTATTCAATGTTACTGTCTTCCAGAATAACTACATGACAGAAACAGGTCAGCGCCTCATCAAAGGATTCAAACCATCTGAAAAGACAAAGGCTTATTTGACCGCTGACAATGTTTTCGGCCCACCTCCAGACACAGACAAAGACTGGGATAAATACAAACCAACAATGGAAATCATTGCATCCGGTGAAAGTGAATTCTATCTCAAAGCCACTCAGAAGTTCATCGAAGACAACAAGGATAAAATGGAAAACTCAGGTGCAGATCCGAAATACACAGAGCTCGCCCAGAAAATGTACGCAATTAAGGAGAATCCCAAAGGAAACGGTCTAGTATTGGTCATCTTCGTAGCTCTCGTATTCCTCATCGTTGCCATCGTTGTTTGGGTCGTCATGTTCTTCCTCTACAAGGATACACTCGTTGAGATCAATGATGACTCTTCAAGCTACAACACAGGCATGTCATTGACAGAATCTGGCTCTAGCAGCACATCATCAAAGAAGAAGAAGTCGAGCGGCTCTGGATCCAGTTATTCAGTTTAATTAGTTTTTATTTTACTCATAGCGATTATTAAATTAAAAATAATTTTATTATAATTTTTAATATTTCTATGATCGTGAGAATGCTATTCATGTATTTTGATCCTGGTATGAACGCGAATCAATAAATATTCACAGAAGAATTAATTTCATATAAAATTTTCAAAACATTATCGAAATCCCCCGATTTCAATAGCAAAAATAATAGATTTTTCAATAGATTTATTGAAATTTGCTTACGATTCACATTAATGGACTTATTTATATTTTGGTCGGATTTGGATTCAGGCGAGAAATGAAAAATATTAGGGAAACACCAAACAGTAGGATATTGGCTATGCAAGTTGAGAGAGTGTGAAAGGATTTTCGATAATATTAAAAATCGGAAAAAACGTTAATCGATAATACATAGATTTTCAGCATGTGTGCAGATACATTAAAGAAAAAAATGCAGATGGTAGCATTTTCTTTGAATTTTAAAGATATTGAATTTCCGAAATCTATAATAGGAATAATTTAGACATAATCTAGTACATCATTAGTTGAATTATAGAAAATCTGAGCATCAAGAACCTATATCATAAACTTTTCTAGATATGAAAGATTCAAATAAGATAGGGTCCCTTGAAAAAAAGTGTCTACTGAATTAAGATCCTATCTACATGGTTTTCTGATGATTTTTGATAGCCATTATCACAGGACAGGCTTTGTAGAAGGTTTGTTAATTTGTGAATTTTCATATGTGTAAAGTATTATATGTCTATACTTAAATAGTGAAATTCATATCCAAAACAAAAGAGGAAATATTAAAAAAACGAACTTTATTATAAAAAAAATATTAATCATTTATTTCGCTTGAATTTTGAATAGCGAAAAGTAGTCTTTCTCTAAGGACTGAAGGAGTTCTATACGGCATCAAATCCAATGTATTGAAGCAAAGGTGAGCAACAGGATAAGCGTATTGTTGTTCAGTTCGTTGATTTGGTCTTGGAGGAGATGATCTGACTTTAATAACAATTCCATCTGGAGGAATTGTATTTTGGCCAGTGATGAACTTGATCAACTGCATGAATTCTTCATGAGTAAAGGCTGCTACTGCATCAAACAAAACATTCGTAATGTTTCCATTTGGTTCTACAAATCTCTTGAACTTATCTAATGTCATTTTTTCTTGGCTTCCAATTGCCAACATTTTCAAGTAATTTCCTGTAATATGTGCTATTTTTTCAGGAGCAATAACGTCATTGAATCCTTTCTTTATATGAGCTAAAACAGATTTTAATCCATTGAAATAAATTTTATCATCGCAATCAACGAATTCTTCCAAAACCGCTTTTTCGTCGCTAGCTAAATAGTTCCAAATGAACATTGGCAATGTCCATTTGGCCGTGTTATTTGTTGCAACTTCGCACGCAATGAGAGCTCCAATAGCAAAAGATCTCTTTTCAGACAAAGAAGAAGACGGAACTAGACCATAATTTACATTCTTCAATGATGGCTGCGGAGGAACAAACATTCTGAAGTTGACATCCATTAATTCATCAACCATTTGGCTCAATGAATCTTTAAACAAACCAGAAGCATCGATACCTGTTTCACCTAAATATATCGCCATGTAAAATCTCATTCTTGAATAACCTTCTTCTTTAAGAATTGTTGTCTTAAATCTTTTGCTGTGTTCTGCCCAAGTATCAATGATAACTTTCGCATTGTTGTATGAAAATGTTCTTGCATATGTTTCTTTGATAGGGATTGTCATAACAATGAATTTTCCTGCATCAATATGACCTTGGAAAGCATCAAAACCTCTGAGAGAAGTAAGGTATTGAAGTTGGTTGTAGATCCTTTCTCTTGGTCCTTTCATGTCGTAGTAATCTTCAGGGATACCGTTTGTTTCGCAGTAAGCTAAATGGCAGTAATAAACAACCAAATTTGGATAGTTTACGTTGACTGTCTTCAAAGATTGTATAGTTTCGACAACACTTGTCAAACATTGTCTGAAATCTTTGTTGTTCCATTCTTTCCATTGAGTCAAACATTTCTTGGGGTCTTGTTCTGGAATGTATCTGAAGAACTTCACTGCTTTTTGCGTGTTTGGATTGAGAATTGATATGACGCCTTTTTGGTCAATAACTTCTAATAAATTGGAACAGTTTGCAATGGTGAATCTGTGTCTTTCCATTTTTGTTGTTACATTTGAAAACAAAGGTAAAAGAGTCATTTTGTCTCCTTGATTTGTGGAAATGAAGGTGAAAAGTTCTTTGCAAAGCAATTTAGCGGAACTGTTGATCAATTTAGAATGATCACTCTTCTGGAGAATAAATTGTGGATCATTTTGGAAAACAAAAGTGACAATTTGATTCAAATAAATTGCGAAATCAATACTTGCTGAAATCTTGTAATCAATTGGCAAATCAAAGTACTTTAGATATAGTTTAGCATCATCAACATTGTTAGGAACATCATTCTTGAATGAAACAAGGATTTTCGCTGCAAATGCTGAACAAATTTTTTCAAAATCAAACAAAAAGTGACAACCATTAATAAAAGTTTTTTGCATCAACAAACCATGATTCCAACCTTGGAAGAAAGCGTATTGGTATGAAGAGGAAGGATCATTATTCAATGCATCAAAGTCTTTTGTCTTCTTTGATTGTGGAGAACTATCAAATTCCTTTAATTTCTGAACAATTAAATCCAAAATTTGTTTTCTTTTCGCGTCACTTTCAATTTGGTACTTGATTTCATCAATTTGCTTTTGTGGAGCATCATCAGTGAGTTTAGCCAATGATTCAATGGTGAATATAATGAAATTCGATGGATCGAAATGATTCATGAATGTTTTCATGATAGAAAATGTGTATTGTCTAATTATATTCAAAAGTTTTTCTTTGTTTTGGTTGATGTCACAAATTTCGTAAGTTTTTGATGCAATGTTTATAATTGACTCGAAATCTGTTTGTTTCTGCTCGATCTGGTTGTATCTGCAAGGAATTGCTGACTGGTAAGCATCAATCTCTTCATCAATTGCGTCGACAATGAAGTAATTACTATGGAAATCTCTGACGAAAGCGTCGTAAAATCCTTCCAATTTCACACTCATTCCGATGCAAATGTCAGGGAAAATCTTCTTGACGTCGAACTGATGTTCTTGTGGTTTTTCTGTTGTAACTTTTGGATTAATAACAGCTTTTTCAACTGTGTATTTAATCTTAGAGTTATCACATACAGTTATCAAGAAAATCCACTTGTTTTTGTCAGTGCCAAAATCAATTTTCATGTCATTGAATTGTACAAAATTATCCACGCCCGTAAGTGTCAATTTTGTCATATTATCATTAAACGGGTAAGATTTCTTATCCATGTAGATTCTTTTGTCCAAGAATGACAAGAAGCAGCAGTTCCAATCTTCATCAATGAAACCTAAATATTTCAATTGATTTGTAAACTTATCAAAATTAAATTTGACAGCAAACGATGGCCCGACAACTTTTGTGTAAACAAAGAAAGAAGAAGTGTATACACTTCCTTTGATTATTCTATTTGCACTTGTATTTTGCGACAAACAGATCAACGTGTCTTTTTTCGATTCTTTGATCTCAGAAAACATCATTAATTGTCTGATTTTGTGGCAAAAAACATTACTTGAGTATGCCGGGATCTTTGTACTGTTAATTTCTTTCGAAACACGGCTGATTTGTGGGAAATTCAAGGCGAATTCCTGTGGATTTTTAACATTTTTCATAACTTTGGAGAAGAATGACATAACAATGCAATTTTTGATAGCTGTTGTGATATCTTTAATGTTGAAATCCATTTTCTGGATGATTTCTACAAGAGATTTCGTCAATTTTTGATCAACTTCGAAATTTGGAGGAGAAATCATGAAACAGCTTGGATTCGACTTTTTCTGGGCATCTGTTAATTTTGAATTATTTACACTGACGCAGTTATCACCAACTAACACGTATCTTGTGATATCGGAGTCGAAGATCTCTGCTCCTAATAAAATAAAAGCAGAAATTGTGTTTTGATCTAATTCTGGTGTCACTTTTTGTAAAAAGAATTTTGCATCTTTCTTTTGACGCAGAGAATTAATAATTTTCGGCATCAAGAAATTGTAACCCTGAGAAGTTGTTGCTGTATCATAGATGTTTGAGTAATACTCATTTTCATTTCCTTCCATAAGAAGAGTCACATTTCTCATTACATAATTAGTTCTTCCGAAAATTGCGTAAATGATCAATGTAACATTTCTTATAAAATCTGATCTCGCGTTTAAAAACTGTTCTGCAACATTCTCGAGTTTGCTTGTGAATGGAATCATGTGGAGTGTGTAAGCAGTGTCATTCAATGCAACCATTTTAGAATCAAATGTGTCAACAAGATCTCTATGATGTTCGAGATCAAATAATTGAATGAAAGAACGATAAATGGCAGCACTCAAATTTTTGTTTGTAAATTTTGACATAAATTTTTTGACATACTGAGAAATTTCATTTTTAAGTTCTTTTCTCTTTCTGTTTGCTTCTTCTACATTCATCAGATCGGATTTCTTGAAATCCAAACTGTAGATCGCAAAGATGTCTTCCATTCTTTCTTCTCTGTTTCGTGAATCCAATTGTGATTCCATCAAAAATTTGTATTTGTAAGAAATTTGTGATAAAACACCATCATTTTCTTGTCTTCCATTTGCCTCGTCTTGGATACTCTTTCTGATATTAGTAAACAATGACTGGAATTTGGTGTTTATGGCTTCAAACCATTCGGGCATTTTTAATGGATCAATTTTCTCTTTTTCAAGCAACTCATTGAATTCTTTGAGATAATCACATGAATAAAAAATTGACACCAAAATTTGTAGAATTGATTTGAAATAATCATTGTTATTATTAATCATTCTACTTGCAGTTGCCAACCTTTTATCTTCCTTTGAGAAAAGCTTCTTTGTGAACTTGTTTTCAGTTGCCAAAACTAAATTAATTTGATGAGAATTCAACAATTTTTCTTTTTCTTTTGTATCAACTTCTTTGACAAAAAATTTCATTTTGCCTCTCATTTCGTAAATGAAGTCATCTTCTTTGTTCTTCCTGAACAAAAGATTCAAAAGAGACTGGTTCTGTCTCTCGAATTCGGAGATTTCAATGACTTTTTCAAGTTTTTTGAGGCATTTGTTGACAACCAAAGAAATCAACGAAAAAATGGAATCAGGAATACAATATTTCAAGAATTCAAGTGATGTTGACTTTGTTTCTGTTCCATTTATAAGAAATTGGTTGTTTTTCTGGGCGGAAATGATGGAAAGATTCAATTCAAATCCATTCAAAATTTGTGGATTTTTGAATTCCTCGAAATTGAAGAAAACATTGTCCGGTTTGTTCTTCTCGTTCGTAATCATCAGTTCATCAAAAGGAGTTTCCAATTCCAAGTTGATGTCATTATAATTATTTTCTGAAGAAAAAACGGTTGTATTCAATTTAATTGTGTACAATTCTGGTTTTCTATCGTCAGCGAACCATTGGCATACATCAGGGAAGACGTCGTCAGTCATCAACTTGTTGAGATTGAGTTCGTTGACCAAAAAATTCAAAGATAATTCTGCCAAATTTCTTCTTAATGGAATAACTGACAAAATTTCGAGAACTTTTTTAAGTAAAATACGGGAAACAGAGAGTTTTCTTGTCTGTATCAAACTGAATACACTCTTAAAGAAAGAGAGAAACTCTCTGTCGTAAATACTTTTCGTTGTTTTCGCGTCATTTTTCTTTTCACTCGATTTTCTTGTTTTTGTCAAATAATAAATGTCATTCATTCTTATTGTTATGACATTTAATAAGTCATCATCATTCAGCTTCTCGTATTCACTTGTCATGTCAAAGAATAATGACTGAGGAAGTGAAAAAATGTCAGTAAAATGGCTTTGTATATTTAGTAACAAACTTGGCCAGTAAACACCTGAATTTGTTGTTCTTACGAGCATATCAATAGTGTTTAAATGCGGTACTGTTGTATTTATCTTAGAAAAACACCTTGAAATGAATCGTGAAATCAAATCCGAAATTTTTTCATTTAATGACACTTTTTGTCTCAAATTCAACGCGAAAAACCTCATCAGCATCGTATCCATGATGAATGTGAATGCAGGATCAATGTCTGACTTGTGGAGATCCTCGTAGAACTGCATTCCTTCTTCAATGTTCTGGTCTTGGTTCGATACTAAGTCATTTGGAAGAAAAATGCCTTTTATCAAGTGTTCGAACGTCATGGTCAGTTCATCTAACATGTCTATACCGATAATTGTGGCTGCAATTAATGAGGAGCTGGGAAAACTCGGTCGAATTATTGGAGTATATCTTGATAAGTACGAATGACGGTATTTATCGAAGAAAATGATTTTGTCTGTGGCTGTGATTGATAAATACTCATCACCGATGTAGTTTATCCTCGATTTGAAGTAATAATCCGGTGGATTTATTTTTGTAAATGAAACTAAATCGAATCCAACAATCTTTGATTGATTGTTGAAGTATACTTTGCTGCCGTCGATGTTACAAATTGCTTTTTCTGGTGAATCAAACAATTTGCATAAATCATTTGGTTCTTTTGTAATTTTCGTTGAAGGAACAGCGTCATCGTCAAGCTGTATTGCACATGAACGTAATCCATTAAGACAAATGAATGTTAATTTGCCATTTACAACTGATAAATTAATTATCGGGAAATTTAATATGGAACTGATAGGAATTGTATTGCCATCGTGGAGTATTGTTTGTTTATTGATGTTAAATATGTAAAATCCTTGATTATTCTTGTATAAAATGTAAATAACATTAATTGAATTTTCAATAATGGAAATTTGAAGGCAATGAGTAGATGATTTCGCAAGGTACTGTAAAAATGTTTCATTTGTGGCCCAATTGTTCATTGAACAGCTTTCAACAAGCTCAATCTTGTTGTGGTTAATTTCAGGCAATTCGAACTGCGCGTGAGCCGTATTGTATCTGATTTTCATGAAGAACTGTATGGCGGCGAGCTTTGTACGCGGGTACGCTGTCTTTAATACTCTCTCTAAAAGTTTTGAGTAATTTAATGGATCTATTTTGTTTTCTGATTGTGTAATATAATAATAAAGCTCGGAATCTGGTATTTCATCAAAATTTTCGGTACTAAGCATTTGGCTGTAGACCTGATCTTCACAAGGAACACGATTAATAATAAATCTTGTATAATTTTTCGTATTTTGATCGAATTGGGACCTAATTTTGCGAAGAAGCTTATCGTATATGTGAGTGAACGACAATAATTGGTTTTCTTGTTGTGAAGAATATTTATATAAATATTCTTGCATGTCAAAATCGATTTCGCCTCGAGAAAGTGCTGCCTTACTGAAGTTAGCGCTCAGGCTTTCTGAAGCGAAAGGTATTTCTTTAATCAGAGAGACAATACTTCCATTCATAATTTTTGTTTTTCCTGTTTCGTTGGAAAAAAATCGCAGTCAAAATTTTGTGATAAGACAAGTTTCAGATCAAACAACATCCTGATAATGAGAAACACATTTTTTCAAAGTAAAAAACTGATAAAAAAATTTTTAAAGATCGACAATGAAAAAATTCACCGTAAAGAGTCGAAAATGCATAGAAGTATTTCATGCAGGAAAAGAATTTTACACAAAGGAAACAGCTTCATATATATATGATTTTGAATAAGAAATCTTAAATTGTTTAACCGTCATTGAGAATTGTCTAAACCCTAGCTATAATTTGCATGTATATGAAATATATTTATAAGAAAAGCCTTTGCTTGAAAACAAATTTAAAAATTACTGATAATGTTTATTCTAAATAAGTAATATAATAAATACAGATATATGATGGATTGGATATCCATATGTAATCCAATTAATTATTAGATTTGTTTGTTTTTCCTAAATTTCCGAAATTAATTTTGGTTGGACCTCCTGCTGAAAGTTTGTTTCCACCTAAAGGAGAAAATTTGTTTCCGCCTAAAGGAGAAAGTTTGTTTCCACCAAGTAGTGATTGTTTGTTTCCTTCATCTTTCTTTTCTGAAGTAGAAAGTTGGGGCTTTGAGAAATTCAAAGGTTTTCCACCAAGGGAGTTAAGTTTTGGTTTAGATTCTCCTTCATCTTTCTTTTCTTCTGTTGAATTTTGATTTTGAGATTTTCCGAAGCCAATAGAAGGTTTTCCTAAATTAAGAGAAGGCTTATTGACACTAAATAATGAATTTGGTTTAGATTCTCCTTCATCTTTCTTTTCTTCTGTTGAATTTTGATTTTGAGATTTTCCGAAGCCAATAGAAGATTTTCCTAAATTAAGAGAAGGCTTATTGACACTAAATAATGAATTTGGTTTAGATTCTCCTTCATCTTTCTTTTCTTCTGTTGAATTTTGATTTTGAGATTTTCCGAAGCCAATAGAAGATTTTCCTAAATTAAGAGAAGGCTTATTGACACTAAATAATGAATTTGGTTTAGATTCTCCTTCATCTTTCTTTTCTTCTGTTGAATTTTGATTTTGAGATTTTCCGAAGCCAATAGAAGGTTTTCCTAAATTAAGAGAAGGCTTATTGACACTAAATAATGAATTTGGTTTAGATTCTCCTTCATCTTTCTTTTCTTCTGTTGAATTTTGATTTTGAGATTTTCCGAAGCCAATAGAAGATTTTCCTAAATTAAGAGAAGGCTTATTGACACTAAATAATGAATTTGGTTTAGATTCTCCTTCATCTTTCTTTTCTTCTGTTGAATTTTGATTTTGAGATTTTCCGAAGCCAATAGAAGATTTTCCTAAATTAAGAGAAGGCTTATTGACACTAAATAATGAATTTGGTTTAGATTCTCCTTCATCTTTCTTTTCTTCTGTTGAATTTTGATTTTGAGATTTTCCGAAGCCAATAGAAGATTTTCCTAAATTAAGAGAAGGCTTATTGACACTAAATAATGAATTTGGTTTAGATTCTCCTTCATCTTTCTTTTCTTCTGTTGAATTTTGATTTTGAGATTTTCCGAAGCCAAGAGAAGATTTTCCTAAATTAAGAGAAGGCTTATTGACACTAAATAATGAATTTGGTTTAGATTCTCCTTCATCTTTCTTTTCTTCTGTTGAATTTTGATTTTGAGATTTTCCGAAGCCAAGAGAAGGTTTTCCTATACCCATTGGAGTTAGTTTTGTACCTGAAAGAAGGTTCGGCTTTGCTTGGCCTTCATTTGCTTTTTCTTCTGTTGAATTTGTATTTTTAGCAAGTTGTGGCTGTTTAAGAGCAGATGCATTAAACGTAGATGCAGCCTGAGAATTTTGTCCCAAAGTTTGCTGTTTGGCTCCAAGACCAAGTGAAATTCCAGCATTCTTAGATGCATCTGTAGAAGTTGGGAGATTTGACTTGAAAACTGGCTGTGCAGTGCCAGATTGCTTGTTTGAAATGGAAGAAATGCTTCCAATTGAAGGAGATTTAGTTGGTGTTTCTTGTTGTTTGTTTGTAGGGCTATCGACACTTTCGGCTGAAGGAGATTTAGTTGGAGCTTCTTGTTGTTTGGTTCCAATGTTTCCAATTGTGGTAGATTTTGATGGAATTTCTTGTGGTTTAGATACTATACGAGTTGATGGATTACTTTGTACTAATGATGCATTAAGTTTGCTTTCGATTGAATTTTCTGTTGATGGAGTAGAACTATTTTGTTCTTTATGAATAATTTCTTTAATTTCTGTCTTAGGGATTGAGACAGGACCTTTTGAGTATTTTATCAATTCGTTAGGATTCCTGGCACGTCTGCGCTTATTTTTAGTTTGCTTTGATTTATTTTGTTGAAATTCTTGAATTTTTGTAGATAATTTTGGAATATCTGGGATTTTGACAGCAGCCGATTGCATTTCTTGCGTGATTTTAGATAATTGTTCAATGTAATCATCATATTGTGTTTCTATTAAATATTCATTAATTTGGCTCTTTGGTATACCTTTAATAATAGAGTCGATTTCAGAAATATCAATGTTTTGTGGTTCTTTTCCTTGTTGTGGCTCATTTGCGCCTTCCAAGCTCATGTATAAAAAATTTTGGTGTCTTTAGAATTTAGATTCAAAAACAAGCAAAATGTATCATCATCTGGGAACAATATTAATACATTTTGAATTTATGTTATATAGGCTATCTGATCCTGAATTATTTCAAGACTTAACTCTAAATATTTGAATATCTTTCAAAATTATCTTAATTTTGATTTTTGCATGATAAATTATTAAATTTTGCATATGTGACAGCTATGTTCTCATTTATACGATTAAATAATCAGATTTATTGATTCCAATCTGTCGATATGGAATATAACAAAGAATGATTAAATGTAAAATACTTTTATGATGATAAAACAGGGGTTTATCAATGATATCATTCATTTTGTTTCAATGTTAAGACTTAAATTGATCAGTGCTGCTTTCCAACTTCCTCATCCGTACAAAAGAGAAACAGGAACTGAAGATGCATACTTCATTTCCCCAAATAACTTAACAGTTGGCGTGGCTGATGGTGTTGGAGGATGGGCAGAACATTTCGGAGCAAATTCTGCATTATGGTCACATAAATTGATGAATTTAAGCTGTGAATATTCAGATCTGCCATCTCCCATTGAAATTTTTAAAGCTGCCTTTAATGATTTTCATGAAACAATCCACGGATCAACAACAATATCAATTGCAAAATTAGAAAACGATACTATGATATTTTACAATCTTGGTGATTCTGGATGCGCAATTTTCAAAAATTATGAAATGAAATTTCGAACTAATTTTACTGTCCATTCATTCAATTTCCCTTATCAGATTGGATCCAATAATGATTCTCAAATAGAAAACGGTACCATTGAAGAATACAAAGTTGACGTAAATGATACAATGGTTTGTGCATCTGATGGTCTCTGGGATAACTTATATCCTGAAGAAATAGGACAAATATTGAAAAAAGCATCAATAAACGTTACATCACCAGAAACATTCGCTCATATCGCAGCAAGAAATTTGGTTAGGAGTGCATTTACTCGTGGATCTGCACATTCTATACAAACACCATTTAGTGATGCTGCTGAAAAAGCTTCCATTGATTATCTTGGAGGAAAACTTGATGATACGACCGTAGTAATCTCGTTTATAGCTCAAGACGAATAGAATTTATGAAATACTAGACAATTTTTGTTTGAATGTTTTTAATAATAAAAAATATTATTTTGAAATTCTTACTAACGCTTTAATCAATCTTTTAATACATAAATCTTTGCATGCTTTCAATGTTTTCTTCTTATTTAAATTTCAATAAAAAAGAAAAAAAAATGTCTGAGAATAAAGCTTTGGAATGCACACCTAGTGTATATATCAATAGTATTTATAATTAGACTCCGAAAATCATAGATAGTCTTATGATATGATAAATTTTGATTTAAACATCAATTAAATGTATTGGTAATTATGATATAAACCAGATATGCGGGAATATATTTGAACAGCTCATGCAGTGACTACAGTTCATCCTAGACTTCTTTCAGAGATCACTAAAAGAAATTTGTCAAAAAAAAACGTTTTAAAATTTCGATGACTGGACGAAGAGCGCTTACACCAATGCAACTTCAAGAAGCAAAAGATGCATTTGATCTCTTTGATACTACAGGAACTAATACTATTGAACAAAAAGAGCTTAAAATTGCGTTAATGACGCTGGGATTTAACATTTCTAAAGAAGAACTTCGCACAGTTGTTTCAGAACTCGACTCAAGCAATACAACTACCATTGATTTTAAAGATTTTATTCAAATAGTCGAAACACTCTTACCAAGTCGTGATCCAGTTAAGGAGCTTACAGAAGCCTTTAATTTATTTGATATTGATCATACGGGCCGTATTACTGCCAAAAATATAATGGATGTTGTTGCAAGCATGGATGAACAACTGACAGAACCTGAAATTCATGAAATCATTGCTGAAGCCGATAAAAGAGGCGAAGGCGATATAACTCTAGAAGAATTTATTGATTTAATCAAAGATAATGCAATATTTTGATTTATTTAAAATAAAATGTTTGATATTATTTTTAAAGCCGATATTTTTATAAATTAGGAAACATTTTAATTATACATGGTGCCAAAAAAGCATCACGGATCGTGCCATGTATAATTTTAAGTTTAAGTCGAATTCTAATTTATTTCCCTTGTCTTTTCCTACATGCAATAAATTTTAAATACTAAAATAAGGAAGAAATAATTATAAAAACAATAATTTTATTAATGCATTTATTTTTAAATAATTATAATATCTTTAATTTTGTCATTACAAAACCATTTGACAAATTTTGCAATCATTCCTGATAAATATCCTGCAAGTACTATATAGCTTGTTATACGTGGAATGTAATACCACATTATACATGAAATAGAACTAGAAAACCAATTGCAAATTGTAAAAATGACAATTATTTCAGCATTCCCAACATTTGCACATCTTAGATATGGAATCTGATATAGACCAAAACTATATGCTGCGGCCATAGGAACTATTGCTGAAACTCTATCTTCAGGAAACTCTATATAAATAAGTGCAAGAATCGAGCCTGCCAACCCTGTGCATATCACTAGAATTTTTAATAAAATTGTACCATTATGACAATGATAACCTCTCGAAATGCCGACAATACTCTGAAAAACAGCAGCAATGATTGCCTGTATCATTGAAATGAAACGTCCTATTCCACTATGGTGGTAAATCCATAATGAATTGCAGCAATACCCTCTTAAAAATGGAGCTGTAACAGCTAGACCAAGTTCAAAAACCGAAACTTTGAGCTTGGGGTCCTCAAATTTATATTCCCAATTTGTTGATAACCATATTAGAAGCAAATATAAAATTGGTAATATATAAATGAACATTAAATAAATTGTTCCCGCATAAGATACAATGAGCATTCCGACAGGAATCATCAATAAATAAAAATTGAATGCATGAAAGAAGTCATACTTTGAAGTCATATATATCATAATTGGTATTAAAACTGATAATGATCCTATAATGATTGATTGAAAATATTTGAAAACAATCATTGGAGTTTTTCCGATATTCATTAAACTTGTGAACAAACAATATGCCAAGTTCATAATTGAAAATATAATTTTGAGATCTTGCTTAACTACGCTGATAATAAAAATGTTGCAAATGCTCCTACAAAGGCAAATAATGGTGGGTACGAACTAAAAACTGCCCATTTTTCATCATCAAATACAGGTCCTGATTTTTTATCCAAAGGTCCAGGAGCAATTATTGTTCCAATAAGAATTCCGCCCAATCCTAAAAGAGTATCCCAAATATATATATTCTCGCAAACATCGCACCGTTTTTGTAATTTCTTAGTCAATATAATGTATCCAGCTGCCAAGGCACCAAAAACAGCTGTACCTGTTAAAACATAACCAATCAACGTCCACGTACCTATGCCTGTCAAAAGATAAAGGAATATTGCACATCCATTAGCAAGCCAAAAGCATCCCCAAGCAAAAATGAACGCGCAAACGGAATAGCTTTTACTTACAAATTTGAACCATGGAACTCCAAAAGCACCAAGGCCTATTCCAGCTCCAATAACATATAATCCAGCTTTGACTTTGACATAATATAAAATATGACCGATTAAAAGAGTAACTAGTGAAAAATAATGGTACAATAATACAAGTGGTGTATCATTTTGTGCATAAAGTAAATAAAATATTATTATACTGAATATTGCGGCAACACAAAATGCTAGATCATAATAAAAGGCTTGGAGATATGTTTGTGAGATTCTTGAGTTGTAAATGAACATTCCAATAACTCCAGCAAATGCATTTACAGTATGAAGTATAGGTGTAACGTATTCCATATTTCCTCCAATAAATAATTCCTTCGAAAATTCGAAACGATATGTATATTTTTCTGGCTTACAAATCCAAATTAAAAATAATTGCAATGATGAAGTTATTAATGAAAATATCACCCATTTTTCAAGAATGCAATTACCAATGGTTAGTCCAATTGCGAAAAAGCCTAAATATATATTGAAGTATATTAATTCGATTTCTGCGACCATGATGGATGATATAATTGTTAAGAAACCAACGGATAAACCCTCAATGCTCCTGAAAACTAATACAACTATTGGACTATCAATATATCCTACTATTCCAGTTGAAATAATGAAAATAATGTTAAATATAGCTATCTCTAATTCTCTATTCTCAAATATGAAAACTGCATAATTTTTCATCCTTATCTTTGATATTATTATCACAATCGAAGCCAAAACAGCAGCAAATAGAGGAACTGCATGATATAGAGTAACATCCCATGTATTTGTTAATTTGCATTTTCCAATCATTGAAGAACCAATAGACAATGCTGATAATGAATAAATAACTAGTCTAATAAACTTATTCGTTGCTATAAGTCCAATATCATCTTTAGATGCTAATAACTTAATAATTAAATATAATATATAAATACCTATAGCACTTGCACCAACAATAAACCATATAAAAGGTGTCGTCATTAGGTATAATATTGCAGAAAATCCATTCAAAATCCAGAACAAGAACCATGAAAATGGCATTGTTGATGCTTTATTACCATTTTGAATAATAAAATGATCCCAACAAAACATAAATAGACCAGAACCGCTTGCTGCAACAATTAAATATAATCCAATTGATTCTTTGTGTCCCAAACCAATTCCGCATCCAACAAAATATAAAATGAATGACACAATATAATAAAAAAATGTATGAAATTCTATCTTTGCTGTTAGGAATTTAAATATGATTGAGAAAGCAATTATTGTTGAAATGAATGTAATAGTGAACTTGAAAACTGAAAAATAATTGTAATTATATCGATTGATACCAATCCAAAATGCAAATGATCCAACAAATGCTTGAACAGCGTATCTTGCAATTACTTCAACAGGACGAATTATTAAATTTTTTGAATAGAAGAATTCATCAATAGAAAGATTAATATCTCTATAATGATCATCAGTTGACAACCAAATCAATAAACTTTGTAGGAAGGGAATAATGCAAATAATTTTGATCCAATGAGCTCCAATAGTTCTAAATAAGAAAATTCCCAAAGCAAAGAAACAGAAGTAAACTATTAAATAAGTTCGAAATCTTTTTGATGTTGCAACTTGTTTTAAAGCGATTGGATAAACAAAAGACATAGTTCCAACAGCAAGGCCTTGAAATGATCTGATAATTATACATAAAGGAACTATTTTTGGTGAAAAATGAAGCCCGATTGTGAGAAGAACAAAAATCAAGTTAATGATTGAAATGAGAATTCTTTTGTCTGAAATAAAGAAAATTGAATCTTCATCAGGATGAAATATATACATAAACAATATGTGTAATAAAGGTGGAATTCCAGCTAACATCATTGGTAGAACATAATACAATATATTGCTTACTTTAGTAAATTCATAAGGAGATGCTGATACCATTGTTCCTGAAAGAGTCATTCCGCCAATGGAAATCAAGAAACAAAGTAAATGAAATCCAAATTTTGTCAAATGAATAGGACCTGAGTCTGAACGAGAGTCTAATAATAACTCGTCGCTTTCTGATTTATCGGAAATTACATGAAGGACTAATTTGTACAGGTTTTTCTTCTTGTCATTGATTGCAGCATAATTCTCCTGGACTCTTCGTTTTGTTTCAGTGATTCTTCGTTTTTCGTTGTAAATTGCAAGATCAATTCCTTCAAATTCACCATTAAAATCATTAAGATTGCGATTTGACATGAAAGAATTCATATCGTTTTCGACCTCATTGATTTGCATTTCTATGTCTTCTCTTTCTTTTACAAGAGTATTCCTTTGGTTTCTTAAATTTTCAAGCTTTTTATTTGTTGCCTCTATTTCAGCTATTTTACTATAAATTTGACCTAGGATTTTAACAACTTCTTTTTGTTGCTCTTCAGTGAGTCCAGCATTGGCATTGCACTTATTATCTTTTAAATCTTTTAGAAATTTTTCTATTGTGGATAAAACTGATAGACCTAGTACTTCATATGCTTTACTAATGAGTTCGATCATATTCACGAGCTTGTTATTAAAATTAATTCTAAGAATTTTAAAAACTTTGAATTTATAGTCTTTTGTCTCTTTAAGTAGATGTAATTGACCAAGAAGCTTAAGAGCTTCATTAATTGTAAGTTCATAATCCTTTAAAATTGACTTAATTTGTTTGAAATCAGAATATTTTTCAAAGAAGTTGCCATTATGTATAAATTCTTTTGGACTAATATTTAGGTCTATATCGGAATTTATTACATTTGTAGATCTTGGCTTTGGCGTTCGCATGGCCATGGCCATTATAGTGCAATGAAAGTCGAAAAACCAAAAGTCGTAACTTGTAAATTTCTTCAACTCTTTTATTACCAAAAATATATATTTAACATTAAATCTAAGAATACACTTAAAATATGTTATTTTTGATGAGAAATTTAAAAAATTTTAACAAGCATGTCATGATGCTTTTTGTCAGAATGAATAAAATAAAGTGTAATAATCTGTAGGGTGAATATATAAACCTGCAACAATTCTTTAGGTAAAAAATCAAATTCGATATAATATAATTTTGGGACTCAGTTGGCTAGGCTTGCCCTTCGGGCAAGCTTAGCCAACTTCGTCAAAATAAATCTATTATGATTATAGAAAATGAGTTTATACAAATAAATTTAATTGTGAGTGATTAATATTATATTTTAAAGATTATTATGTAAAATATAAGATAGACTTTTAGCTAAATCGAAGTAATTTAGAGAACAATTTGAGATTTTAGAGATTTTTCAAATGAAATATTGAAAGCAAAGAATTTATTAAGAATTTGTTGTGAAATGAATACACTTCGGTAAGGCATTAGATTGGCGTGATAATTGACAAAATTGGAGCTGAAGTTTGGTTCACAAATGAAGAATAGGTCTAAGCTATAACAAAAAATTGTAATATATTTGAAAATCTAATAGTTTTATTTAGTAATTTGATATCGATGCGATCATAGATATTGATTTGAGTATTAAATTCGAAATTTTGTAATTTATAATGATATTTAGGAGCTGTAAAGCTAAAGACTAATTAAGTATATGATAACAAAGAACTTGTTAGAGATTAAAATCTTAAATTGAAACTACATGAACATATTAAGAATCTTTTAAAGTATACTGGCACTCCAATAAGTCATTAGTTCGATGTGATGCATTAGAAGTTTGATTGAAAAGTCTGGTTAAGAATACCCTTACATTGCGTAGTTAGAAAGAGAATATGATATTGTCATGATTGCTAAAGTTTTAGGCTCCAGAAATGAATATACATCAAACTGAAACAATTGATAAATTGAATGAACTTTTGAGAGGTTCTCAAATAAAAAAAATTATCTAATTTTTTACAATATTACTATTATTTTATCCACATATGTATATATAGTAATTTGAGAAAACTTTTAGGAAAAAATAAGTTTAATAAAAATCTGAATTTTACTTGTTGTGGGATTGTTATTAATTGACACTCCAGACGTATTACTAATAGTTATGCGTATGCAATTAAAGTATTTCTGATGGACAAAATGTGAGATTTATATCAGATAATTCATTTCTACTATTAAGTTATTCATTTATGAGTTTGCACTTATTCGCACTAAATAAATAACTATTAAAAATTGTTTTAATTAATTGACACCATATAATAGAGTGAATTTTTTTGATCAAACAACAATAGATGATAGATATAAGCCAAGAAACTTGCTATTAATATGCTTACTTGCTATTTCAATGTAAGTATGATATTTTCTAAATGTTTCGTTCAGATAACTTAGATATATTAGTCAAAATTTGAAATTTTAATAGCACATATATTAAAATAATTATTATTCATAAAAGATTAATGAAATAGTAAAAAAATCAATCAAATTATAAAAATACAACATTTAGAAGAATTCTTATTATCCTTCAAAAAGTCAGTATTTCTGCTGTAATTTTCTACAACATTGTAGTTATTGCACTTTGTCTATGGATTTGTATATATGTTATATATAAATTATATATCTAAACTGCCCATAAGTGCAATTTTTATATAAATTGTTTATTTCTTTAACAATTTCATATAAAATATGTTTTTAAGCGTATCAAAGCTGTGTTCTTAATGTGCATGGATATATCAAGAAAAATGTCGAAAAAAAATGTGAATTCACAAATTCACTGAATTTTCACCGTTTTTTGAATTTTGCTACAGCACTAATATTAAATAATACTAAAATCTTCTGTCTTTGTAAAAGAATAAATTCTGACAAAAAGTGCTCGTTTAAATTTAATGATCATCTGTATGACTAAGTGGTAAAAAGTGTTTATGACCAAAAAAGGGTTACATGCTTAGTCTATTTTTCTGACAGGATACTCTAGATTTACATGATCTCTATTTCATATTCTCAGTTTTTAGATTCTTCGACAGATTTTATGATAGAAAACCAAGATTAACAAATTTCCGGCATGTTAATGAAGAAAATCTGCAGCTACCCTCAATATTATTTCAATAATCAGTATCGATTCTCTTACAATTTATTTTTTTCTCAATAATTTAACAAATAAATACACACTTGGTTTTACGTATAAAAGCTAATTGTCGAACTTAATCAACTTTACTTACTTAGCAAATGAATATTTTGTGGTTGCGAGTTCTGAATGCTGAAGTTTTAATTTCTCTATAAATGATATCATTGCACTTACAATGTTGTTCCAGCCTATCGCATAAATCATAGAAAATCCAAAAAAAAAATAATATAAAGAAAATTCATGTCATGAAGTTCAAAAAATACCGTGTAACATAAAATTTGTTATGATTAATACATTGAATTAGTATTATTAATGAATTTTTTAAATTTCGAGAAATTGAATGGTGAGTCCGATAGAGAAATTTTTAAAAAATCCTAGTGCCTCATAGAAGTAATTTCCCTCGTCTCCCATACTTCCAAATGTATGCATATGACATAAACTTTTATGCATTACACAAGTGGCCAATAATATCTATAGAGTAAAAAATTAGAAATTTAATTTTTTTATATGATAGTTATATTTCAGATTTGCGAGCGTAACTTTTTTCTCCATGGCATACTTGTTTTAAGAGCAAATGATCAAAATCGTCCTTCAATTATTGAAGGAGCTGATATCTTTTGAAAATTGAATTGAAAGGGTATTCAATTTTCAAATTTCCTCTCAATTTTGGAAACATATCAACTCTATGAATTAACAATTATGTGCCTTCACAGTTTATCAGTCATATAAGGTGCTTATAAAGAAAAAAGTTACGCTCGCAAAATATGTTTTTATATAGATTTCACATAAAATAATTATGTAATTTCTAAAAAGAATATTTTTGTTCTTGAATATTAAAGTGTATTGTAGTTTAAAAAGTTTTAAATATGTTGCTAAAATTTCAGGTTTATAGCTCATGTCTAGCATGACTTCTTCGTATGCGCAAAAAATCTGACACGTAAGGGTATCCTTAAGAAATGATGAAAATGTGAAATGAAAATAAAGCATTTCTCTCAATTTTTCAGACACTTTTTGCCTATCGTTATCAAAGTGGCGCTTCGCGCCGCTAATAAAATTTTGAGAACAACTTTAGTTGTTTGTTCGGCAAAATTATTTTAACGAATTACGATTCATAATTTGTTGTAACATAATAATCTCTCAGTGATTTTTGACTTTTGATAATAAATTATTAATAAATATACTGAAAAGTCATTTTCTTCGCTATTTGATTGGCGCTTTGCACCAATCAAATAGCTCAGATTCATAATATGATATTATTTCAAATATGATGAAAATTTTTGAGTGAAAACTATCAAAAATAAGTCTTAAAAAATACATTTTTAGAAATGGTTTTTGATTCTTAATCATTTTATGTTTCAGCAACAGACAATCACTATATAAATGGATTTTCTGCAATATTATACCTAATGACGAAAAAGTTTGTTATTATATGGGAAAAATTCGAGATTTCGAACTCAAAATTTAGAATCGGGTTATTTTGGATTCTTTGGCTTTGGGAGGGCGCAAAGCGCCCTCCCAAGGCGATAAAAGGTCGAAAATGCTTATCGAATAAAATCATATATCAGAAAAAATGACTTTGGATATGATAAATATCATTGTTATAATTGATACATATTATATTGCACATTATTTTGAAATTTTATTTTTTCAAAATTTTCAAAATTTAATTTTGATTTATATCTAAATATTATATGATTTTAAGATAGCATCTCTCAATTTTATTAAAACGGTTTTTGGTTTCTCTCAAATATGTTAAAATTGAGAAAAACAAAACATTTTTAGGTGAAGCACTCTGAAGTTCTGAGCCAGACTTCAGATATCTCGATACAGTGAAGTACCCAAAATCATGTACATTTGCCATAAATATTTATCGTTCGAATTTTGCAATTGAACTTTGCGTTCGATATCTGATTATACATACTTTCGAAATTGTAAGACCTAGCGACCACACACTAACACAATCACTCAGCCGAATCAATTGATCCAATTATCCATTATATTATTGGTTTATAATAAGAAAATTTGATAAAAAGTCAAAAAATAAGCGATATCAAAGATTACTTTATGGGTGTACTATTAATTGACCCTTTTCTGATTAATTGCGAATTACTGAAATGTATTTATTTGTTAGATTCTTATATAAATTTTAAAAATCTCTTTATTTTCTTAAGTTCTACTTACAATTTGTAATCTTTTATTTCATAGATATATACTTTTAATAAAATAACAAAACTCAGTTTCATCATAACAGACTTGTTATATAGAGTAGATATTATTTCGATTATTGTTTTGTATACAAGTGAATGTTGTACACAAAGACAAACATTGTCTATCAATGGCTGTCTTTGATGCAACTTTGAGAAGAATCACAAACGATTCTTCTCAAAGTTGCTCAGTGAACAACAAACACTTGTTATTGTTTTGTATACAAGTGAATGTTGTACACAAAGACAAACATTGTCTATCAATGGCTGTCTTTGATGCAACTTTGAGAAGAATCACAAACGATTCTTCTCAAAGTTGCTCAGTGAACAACAAACACTTGTTATTGTTAATGTCTCTAAAGTTTAAACATTTTCATCCCCATCAACCTTCATTCTGTAATCTCATTCTTACTATATCTTAATGTAATCATAATTTTATTATTAACTTAAAATATATGCGAATATTAATAATTAGCCTCAAAGCTTTCATACCATTACATTAATTTTGTTTTAATCGAAATTCTATTTCATTAATTCTGAATTTTAAATCATATCACCATTAATA